CAACCACCACAGCACGGCGGCAGTGACCCACCACCACCACAGCACGGCGGCTGTGACCAACCACCACCACAGCACGGCGGCAGTGACCACCACCACAGCACGGCGGCAGTGACCACCACCACAGCACGGCGGCAGTGACCACCACCACCACAGCACGGCGGCAGTGACCACCACCACCACAGCACGGCGGCAGTGACCACCACCACCACAGCACGGCGGCAGTGACCACCACCACCACAGCACGGCGGCAGTGACCACCACCACCACAGCACGGCGGCAGTGACCACCACCACCACAGCACGGCGGCAGTGACCACCACCCACAGCACGGCGGCAGTGACCACCACCACCACAGCACGGCGGCAGTGACCACCACCACAGCACGGCGGCAGTGACCACCACCACCACAGCACGGCGGCAGTGACCACCACCACCACAGCACGGCGGCAGTGACCACCACCACCACAGCACGGCGGCAGTGACCACCACCACCACAGCACGGCGGCAGTGACCACCACCACCACAGCACGGCGGCAGTGACCACCACCACCACAGCACGGCGGCAGTGACCACCACCACCACAGCACGGCGGCAGTGACCACCACCACCACAGCACGGCGGCAGTGACCACCACCACCACAGCACGGCGGCAGTGACCACCCCACCACAGCACGGCGGCAGTGACCACCACCACCACAGCACGGCGGCAGTGACCACCACCACCACAGCACGGCGGCAGTGACCACCACCACCACAGCACGGCGGCAGTGACCACCACCACCACAGCACGGCGGCAGTGACCACCACCACCACAGCACGGCGGCAGTGACCACCACCACCACAGCACGGCGGCAGTGACCACCACCACAGCACGGCGGCAGTGACCACCACCACCACAGCACGGCGGCAGTGACCACCACCACCACAGCACGGCGGCAGTGACCACCACCACCACAGCACGGCGGCAGTGACCACCACCACCACAGCACGGCGGCAGTGACCACCACCACCACAGCACGGCGGCAGTGACCACCACCACAGCACGGCGGCAGTGACCACCACCACCACAGCACGGCGGCAGTGACCACCACCACCACAGCACGGCGGCAGTGACCACCACCACCACAGCACGGCGGCAGTGACCACCACCACCACAGCACGGCGGCAGTGACCACCACCACCACAGCACGGCGGCAGTGACCACCACCACCACAGCACGGCGGCAGTGACCACCACCACCACAGCACGGCGGCAGTGACCACCACCACCACAGCACGGCGGCAGTGACCACCACCACCACAGCACGGCGGCAGTGACCACCACCACCACAGCACGGCGGCAGTGACCACCACCACAGCACGGCGGCAGTGACCACCACCACCACAGCACGGCGGCAGTGACCACCACCACAGCACGGCGGCAGTGACCACCACCACCACAGCACGGCGGCAGTGACCACCACCACCACAGCACGGCGGCAGTGACCACCACCACCACAGCACGGCGGCAGTGACCACCACCACCACAGCACGGCGGCAGTGACCACCACCACCACAGCACGGCGGCAGTGACCACCACCACCACAGCACGGCGGCAGTGACCACCACCACCACAGCACGGCGGCAGTGACCACCACCACCACAGCACGGCGGCAGTGACCACCACCCACAGCACGGCGGCAGTGACCACCACCACCACAGCACGGCGGCAGTGACCACCACCACCACAGCACGGCGGCAGTGACCACCACCACCACAGCACGGCGGCAGTGACCACCACCACCACAGCACGGCGGCAGTGACCACCACCACCACAGCACGGCGGCAGTGACCACCACCACCACAGCACGGCGGCAGTGACCACCACCACCACAGCACGGCGGCAGTGACCACCACCACCACAGCACGGCGGCAGTGACCACCACCACCACAGCACGGCGGCAGTGACCACCACCACCACAGCACGGCGGCAGTGACCACCACCACCACAGCACGGCGGCAGTGACCACCACCACCACAGCACGGCGGCAGTGACCACCACCACCACAGCACGGCGGCAGTGACCACCACCACCACAGCACGGCGGCAGTGACCACCACCACCACAGCACGGCGGCAGTGACCACCACCACCACCACAGCACGGCGGCAGTGACCACCACCACCACAGCACGGCGGCAGTGACCACCACCACAGCACGGCGGCAGTGACCACCACCACCACAGCACGGCGGCAGTGACCACCACCACCACAGCACGGCGGCAGTGACCACCACCACCACAGCACGGCCGGCAGTGACCACCACCACAGCACGGCGGCAGTGACCACCACCACCACAGCACGGCGGCAGTGACCACCACCACCACAGCACGGCGGCAGTGACCACCACCACCACAGCACGGCGGCAGTGACCACCACCACCACAGCACGGCGGCAGTGACCACACCACCACAGCACGGCGGCAGTGACCACCACCACCCACCAGCACGGCCGCGGCAGTGACCACCACCACCACCAGCACGGCGCCGCACGTAAGTGCACCCACCACCACAGCACGGCGCAGTGACCACCACCACCACAGCACGGCGGCAGTGACCACACCACCACAGCACGGCGGCAGTGACCACCACCACCAGCACGGCGGCAGTGACCACCACCACCACAGCACGGCGGCAGTGACCACCACCACCACAGCACGGCGGCAGTGACCACCACCCACCACAGCATCGGCGGCAGTGACCACACCACCACAGCACGGCGGCAGTGACCACCACCACCACAGCACGGCAGTGACACCTACCACCACAGCACGGCGCAGTGACCACCACACCACAGCACGGCGGCAGTGACCACCACCACCACAGCACGGCGGCAGTGACCACCACCACCACAGCACGGCGGCAGTGACCACCACCACCACAGCACGGCGGCAGTGACCACCACCACCCAGCACGGCGGCAGTGACCACCACCACCACAGCACGGCGGCAGTGACCACCACCACCACAGCACGGCGGCAGTGACCACCACCACCACAGCACGGCGGCAGTGACCACCACCACCACAGCACGGCGGCAGTGACCACCACCACCACAGCACGGCGGCAGTGACCACCACCACCACAGCACGGCGGCAGTGACCACCACCACCACAGCACGGCGGCAGTGACCACCACCACCACAGCACGGCGGGCAGTGACCACCACCACCACAGCACGCGGCAGTGACCACCACCACCACAGCACGGCGGCAGTGACCACCACCACCACAGCACGGCGCAGTGACCCCACCACAGCACGCGGCAGTGACCACCACCACCCAGCACGGCGGCAGTGACCACCACCACCACAGCACGGCGGCAGTGACCACCACCACCACAGCACGGCGGGCAGTGGACCACCACCACCACAGCACGGCGGCAGTGACCACCACCACCACAGCACGGCGGCAGTGACCACCACCACCACAGCACGGCGGGCAGTGACCACCACCACCACAGCACGGCGGCAGTGACCACCACCACCACAGCACGGCGGCAGTGACCACCACCACCACAGCACGGCAGTGACCACCACCACCACAGCACGGCGGCAGTGACCACCACCACCACAGCACGGCAGTGACCACCACCACAGCACGGCAGTGACCACCACCACAGCACGGCAGTGACCACCACCACAGCACGGCGGCAGTGACCACCACCACAGCACGGCGGCAGTGACCACCACCACAGCACGGCGGCAGTGACCACCACCACAGCACGGCGGCAGTGACCACCACCACAGCACGGCAGTGACCACCACCACAGCACGGCGGCAGTGACCACCACCACAGCACAGCACGGCAGTGACCACCACCACAGCACGGCGGCAGTGACCACCACCACCACAGCACGGCGGCAGTGACCACCACCACAGCACGGCGGCAGTGACCACCACCACCACAGCAAGGCGGCAGTGACCACCACCACCACAGCAAGGCGGCAGTGACCACCACCACCACAGCACAGCACGGCAGTGACCACCACCACCACAGCAAGGCGGCAGTGACCACCACCACAGTACGGCGGCAGTGACCACCACCACAGTACGGCGGCAGTGACCACCACCACAGTACGGCGGCAGTGACCACCACCACAGTACGGCGGCAGTGACCACCACCACAGCACGGCGGCAGTGACCACCACCACCACAGCACGGCGGCAGTGACCACCACCACCACAGCACAGCACGGCAGTGACCACCACCACCACAGCAAGGCGGCAGTGACCACCACCACAGTACGGCGGCAGTGACCACCACCACAGCACAGCACGGCAGTGACCACCACCACCACAGCAAGGCGGCAGTGACCACCACCACAGTACGGCGGCAGTGACCACCATCACAGTACGGCGGCAGTGACCACCACCACAGCACAGCACGGAAGTGACCACCACCACAGCACGGCGGCAGTGACCACCACCACCACAGCAAGGCGGCAGTGACCACCACCACAGCACGGCGGCAGTGACCACCACCACCACAGTACGGCGGCAGTGACCACCACCACAGCACGGCGGCAGTGACCACCACCACCACAGCAAGGCGGCAGTGACCACCACCACAGTACGGCGGCAGTGACCACCACCACAGCACGGCGGCAGTGACCACCACCACAGCACGGCGGCAGTGACCACCACCACCACAGCACGGCGGCAGTGACCACCACCACCACAGCAAGGCGGCAGTGACCACCACCACAGCACGGCGGCAGTGACCACCACCACAGCACGGCGGCAGTGACCACCACCACAGCACGGCGGCAGTGACCACCACCACAGCACGGCGGCAGTGACCACCACCACAGCACGGCAGTGACCACCACCACAGCACGGCGGCAGTGACTACCACCACAGCACGGCGGCAGTGACCACCACCACAGCACAGCACGGCAGTGACCACCACCACAGCACGGCGGCAGTGATAACCACCATGGTGGATAAAAGTTCAGTTATATTTTGTCGTTAAGACTGAAAGGAGCTCCTCTGAAGCAGGCCGTCGTTAAAGCTAAGTCGGCATGCTTCGGAAGAGCCCTTCCAGTCTTAACGACTAAAGTGGGTTAAATGGCCGCCTCTGACATGAGGAACAGACGCCATGTGCAGCCGCTCCTAACTTGGAGTACAGACGCTGCTTATCCCAGGTTCCATTTTAACTGAACCCAGGTTGAGCTTTATTACTGCTCTCCCTCCTCCTTTTTCATCCGGGCTTGGGACCGGCAATGGCGGAGTTGAGACCGAGCAGATAGCTGCATATAAGTGTGGCGCAGCCTCCTGACAACGCCTGACTTTATATGGAATCAGCGGTTGCTATGGTTACCCACCTCTACATCACGTGACTCTCCGCCTACCAATCAATTCTCGGCTACCTCCAGTGACAAACAAGAATGAGAAAACAAATAAAGAGATCTTTATAAGATTTCTTAATCAATTTCTTAGAGAAGGATTCAATAGATTTCAAATCCCACCAACTCCATGTGTGAGCCAATAATTCTAATCTCCAGCTATCGCTTTTTCCATTTAAGGATCGAGCAGGAGGAAAAAGTTCAGGTCTTAAATCCGATTTTATTCATAAACACCGTATAAATCAATTAATACCTTTATTAAGACCCTTTTAGCCTTATATACAGATTTTCTTCTGAGAAAGATATAGGAAATGGTTGTAAAATAGAAAGAAAATCGAATATACAAAGTTATTTGGGAAATATGTACATATAGAGCTATATAATTATTTACATATAATATTATGCACCTAAGTTATAGGTATTTCCCTGATCTCCTTTTTCATAAACAGATTCCCGAAAGTTATGGGAGAGAGTAGAAAACACTGGATTTAACAAGAATGTAAGAAGGAATGAAAAATACACAAGAGCCTATATAATTTTTTAGATAGAGAAAGAGACAGAGAAAAGAACACATTCATAGAAGCTATTTCCTTCTAATTGCATCAATTTAGGAATCCTAATCTATAAGAGCCGTTTCTTGATTCAATACCGATTTATGGAAACTTAAAAACTTTCAGGTCTTAAATCCTATTTTTTTTATCATAAAAACACGATATCTTTTCATCATCATCAACAACAACAATAGGTGCCATCACAGATTTAAATATCGGTCATCAGTCGTCTGGTGAGGTTCACCATCTTCTGTCAGTTTCTAGTATTGTGTATATATTTCTTTCTTTGTTGAGTGTTCAGTGTTTTTTTACTTTCTTCCATAGCTAATGGGAATCTGTAAATAAAATAGAGAGCAGAAGAATACCTATATAACCTATATGTATATATAATATTGTATGTAAATAATTATATAACTCTATATCTGCATATTTCCCATATAACTTTATATATTCTGATTTCTTTTTCTCTTTCTTTTCCCCATCACTTGCTGTATATATATTCAGGAGAATCTATATTTAAGACTTCCTAATAAAGGTACATTAATGATTCCCTACTTTACATATTAGAGCGGTGCAACAAGAC